TTACAGGTATTTCACCCTTATGGGCCCAGTGCTTTATTGCTCTTTGGCTCTGTCGACTAGATTTGATGGTGCCACTGGTCAAATATATCCATCGATGTTAGGCAGCTTGCTAGATTTGGAGAGGTGAGCAGGTACTGCAATGCGAGGTAAATGTCCAAAGCATAAAGAGCCTCCCAAAAGCCTTATAGTCCAACAAGGACTTATTTTGGTGCCTTTACATGTTGGTCCAAACCTTCTAAGTGCTGGAGATTTATGACCACCCATGTGAGTCCCCAAAATAGTCAAGCAGTACTGTGAGCCTCAAAGTAGGAGTGTGTGAGGTGTGTGTGTGGAGTGGAATGTCCAAAGCCACCAAGGATCAACAAGGTGTCCCTAATGCCTCATGATTTTATAGGAACTCATCATGAAACTTTCACATGTTGGTCCTAACTTTCTAAGTGCTTAAGGTTTATAAACATCCATGTGAGGCTCCAATAAGAGTTAAGAAGTGGTTTGAAATCGTGAATGAGGTGGGCCCCATCACTAGTCTTCTAGGATAGTCAAAGGAAAAGTCTTATAGCTAGATTCTAAGTACTAATAGAAAGACTATACCTCACCAAAAATGAGGTCAACAAGGTCATAAATAGTCACATAGGTCGTAGTAATGAGCTGTGATGATGTCGATTGGTGGAGGGCTTTAATGACAGTAGTCGACCACATAGGTCAAAGTAGTGAGTTGTGAAGAGAAAACTTTAAGAGTCTCATGAAGGTCATCGTATTTTGAGTACGATAATTGTAAGTTGTTATTATTGAGAGTTACACCTTACTCAGGGTTCGTTGTTATAAGGTTACACTATCCTCGAGGTGCATCATTACACATTTTTCAAGGTGTATCGTTACAATGTATTCGGGGTGTGTTGTTACATTATACTTAGTGTTCTTTGTTACATCATATTTGAGGTGTGTTGTTACATGATCATTGGGGTGCACAATTACGTCATATTCAGGGTGTGTCGATACATCATCTTCAGGGTACATCGTTATTAGAGGTGCAAACGAGCTTAGCTGATTGATCCAAAGCTTGAATCGTCGAACAACGAGTTGTTTTGACATCCCTAATCATGCAATCACACGATGTTAAAGGTAGGGGCGAGATTTAAATCTTATTATTTATATTAAAATATTCATTAAAATATGTTTTTATTCTATATTTTTAATTAATAATTTTAATCAATTATAAATATTTGTAGCCGTATAGTCATGAACAAATCTTTGTTCGTGTTCGGTTCATTTATATATCAAGCACAAAAAAGTTTTTTTTTTTGTTTGACTCGTTTACTTTTCGAACGAATTGAACACGAGCTAAATAACAAGTCAAGCACGAGCTATTTGTGAAGGATGAGTTGTTCGAACAGCACTAATATTTATATCATATTTGAGTTGTGTTGTTACACCATCTTTGTGATGCGCTGTTGCAATGTAAGGTTGATCAACGTCAGCAACCAAGTGCAGCTGACATTAGTCGATGACGATCGTTGAGCAATGATTGATCGTGACCAGTAGCTGTGGGAGCAAAAAATGGTTGCTAGGTCTTTGGTCCAAAATAACACTAGAATCGACTCTTTCTCATGATCCTGCTTTAGCTCTAAATCCAGCTTCTCACTTTTCATGAGAGGATTAGGGCTATATTTATAGAGTATAAGAGTAGCCTCCTCTATAAGTAAGGAAAGTATTTGGACCACTCCATCTAATGACCTAAAAAAAATCCCAATACCATATAGCCTATTGTGGATATTTCAGTATCTTGATGATATCATAATTGAGTAATCTCAAGCTCGTTAGATTTGTCTCATCAATATGTTTGAATTGACCACGAGCTTATCAGATTTGGAATCCATTTGACCTTCCAATTTGTCATTCAAAACTTCAAAAAGTGGTTTAATGAAATCCCAGCTTGATTTGACCCATATTGGACCAATTTTAATGTCATTGTGCTCATCTCGTCGAGTCTGATAGTTTGACTATAAATTTGTTGAAATCAAAGTTCTCAATGATTTTTAATTTTTTTACTCAAAAAATAATTTTTGATATTCGTGTTAATCATCTCGAGATTTGGTATCAATCATTTCAACCATAAATAAAATAATACAATCATATAACACAATTACTATTTGATCATATTATGAAATTATTGGATCACATTTGAATCATGATCTCAATTTTTCATTCAAAAAAAGTTTTGAGTTCATTTATTCAAAAATAATATTTTGACCTAAAATAAATATTTTAAAATATTTTAAAATAATAATAATTATTATTATATATTTCTCCAATCCCAGCTCTCATAGTATATAAAGTCAAATTTCACAATTAATTTCCTAGTCTTGTACTCGATGGAAAATCTTATTCCTTTTAAATTAAAAATTCGAATTTTATTTAATAATTTATTGCTGGTCCAACTAAAAAATAAAATAAATAAATAAATATTTTCTTAAACAATTGATGTACTATTACTCAGAATATTTTATATATGCGAAATATTTATGTCTTCCTACAATGAATTCGGACACCTTGTGGAGATGCGCTAATTCGGGCTAAGCACGTTTATTTCTAAGGGGCGAAAAAAAAACTCAAGTGATCTTAATTAATTTATTAATTTATTTTTTATTAGGTTTGAAAGGTGGGGGCGTCCTGACGGTCGTCATTTCTGTCTCTCTGGCAACGATGGTAGTAGCTATCAGTGGCAACCGAGCAGTGGTGGTTCAGTGGTGGTCTGGTGGAGTAGGTGGATAGGTTGTGGTGGTTGTCCAATTGTGGTTTAGCAATGCGGCAGTGGTTGAGCAGTGGTAGTCCAACAATAGTGGCAGGCATGTAATGGCAGTCCGACGGTGGTGGAGCACATGAACGACGACACTCCGATGTTGGGGGAGCTCATATCTCCTTTTAGACTTCTCCAATTGTATGTTCTGGGTCCATTTTCCTTAAGGGAGTAGGGTTATAATTATAAATGTTATGAGTGACATTCTCTGTAATTATCTCATGAATTCGAACCACTCCATCGGACGGCTCAGCATGATCCATTTGATCAGATGGTGTTCTATAAACATTTCAGTGTCTAAATGATGTCAGAATCAAATGATATTGGGCTCGTTGGTTTCGACTCGACAATACACTCGATTTAACTATCATCTTGTCAGATTTGAAATCTATTTAATCATTCAATCGTCCATAAAAAAAAACATTCATTTGTTATTAAACGGTTCGATTTGTGTTGGATAGGACTTGGATCAAACACGCTCTAGCTTCATTGTTCTCTTCTAATCGAGGCAGTCGGCTTGACTATAAATTTATTGGAATTGAAGTCCCTGAATGAACTTCATTAAAATCTTAAATATTTATCATTCAAAAAATATTATGAGATTCATGCATTTCATTATAGCGGCAAAGTGAGATACGAAAACAAAAAAGTCAAAAAAAAAAAAAAAGGAAAAATATGTTAATTCCGAGTAAGCAAAATTTTGAAGAACAATAGATGGCAGAAAAGAAAAAAAAGATTAGGATTGGGGCATTCCGAGAATTGAACTCGGGACCTCTCGCACCCTAAGCGAGAATCATACCACTAGACCAAATGCCCTGTTTTGTCTTTATTTGAAGCTTTAATCTATATAAATTATTTCAATTAAATGGTGCATTTAAGGGTCAATTGTTTTTATAAAAAAATTAAAAAAATGGTGTTTTTTATATGATATGAGACTTTTGGGAGTTATAAATCTGCGAAAAAAAATAAATTTTGCTTCAAAACAGAGTTTAAAGTCACTAAATTATTTTTTAAAAGGAGTAAATAAAGATATTGATTGGTTTTTTTTTATAAATTTAGGGTTTTTTAAAAATAAATTTAGTAATTTTAAGGACAATTTTGATGAATTCCGATCAGTTGGCTCTAAAAGTCTAAGAAATATTGTTATTATAAAAAATGACAATAGAGTAAGAAATATATGTTAGTTAAACCAAACTTGGTGAAATACATCTAAAAGGTGTTTTTTTCCTCCCACATAGATCTGCTATGCCATGCCACCAAAGGCTAATTGCTATTGAGATTAACCTTGATGCCTCAATCTTACCAACAGGACTAAAACGTCAATTGACATCAACATCAACACTCTCTGTAGTTATTATCACTAAAAGTACGTTTGGGTCGGCAGTGTGTGATAATGTGGTGTTGCAACACAGTTTTTACAATTTGACAAAATTACGTTTTACATGCGCTCTCGAAAAGCCACAACTACAAGTTGTGTTTTTCAACCAAGTCTTGCTACCTATGGGGAGGTCTTAGGTGAAGCTAGGGATCAATTTGGGTAGACCCCTCTCTTAAGGTGGATTTTATTGTCAAAGTGGTTCATAGGGTCCATAGGCAAGTCTCTAGGTTTTTGGGTGGCTTAGAGCATATCTAGCCCATAGTGTTCAGTTTAGGTTCCTCACCTGGTCAAAACCCTATACCCACTCAACCATGCACGTCTGATCAACTTAGGTTCCTAAGGTCCATAAACAAGGCCCTATAGATAATTACAACTTAAGCGACCGAAGTCGCCTAAAAAAACTCATCATTGCCAACACCCAAGTGATAATTATCATCACCACAAGCCTTCGTGGCTACTTCCTCTTTTATAGAGAAAAGAAAAAGCATTCAATAACTTGAAAAACAAATGCGGGTCAAATTCTCATGTGGTGCGGCATTTCAACCATTGGGTTAAAATTCAATGATCTTTACTTAGAAGTCTTTGAAACCTTTTTCCTTTTTTACATTGGCGCCTTCTTAGGAAAACACCGCCAACTGTTGCTTGAATGACAACTTCATATGATTCACATGTCTACTTTACCACACCAGGCTACTCTTTAGGATTAGAATTTTAGGAATTAGGACTGCCACAATCTAGTACAATGTGTAAAGACATAAGAATTGTATGAACACTCAGAATACGAGATATTGAAATTGTCCATTTTATTCCAACCAATATGCTGCACATTTAAGCACGTCAATTGTTACAAATGTTTCTAAATAAACTTGTTCTGGATATAAAAGCACAAAAAAAAAAATGAAAAAAATACAAACCAAAATATCATTTGTATTATATAAGAATACTGGCAAAATTTTCTTGAATACTAATGGCTTGATGACTGATTAACCGCATCGCATACCTTCTCAAATAGCTCCACAGCATAAACTGGATATATACTCAATCAAACGCCACTATATTAGTCCCAAGGACAGCCATGAAAGCATCTGCAACAACTCCCCAGTTGCCACAGTAACAACAATGGTGAGCAGACCTGCAAGATAATTTAAATGGAATAAAACAAGGATGGAAGATTTACATACATGATACGTGACACTCAATTTTTATGTATTTACATATCTAGCATTAAAATTTCAATTTTTACATATATACCACATTATCTATACATTAAAAGGAGTATTTCACTTTTTAAAAGTTAAAATAGTGGTATTTTTTATGTGAAATGAAAGAATTTGTTGTTATACATGTAAAAAGGCAAAGTTTAGGTGTACGAAGTGTAAATATAAGAAATGAATAGTGTGTATTTAAATGCACCAAAAAGGATTTTATAAAAAAAAGGGCAAAGTTGCAGGCAATAGATTTTCAAAAGCATAGCAGAAAATCTATAGGAATTCAAATAAGCACACCTCATCATAGGTATAACTGAATCAGCTCATCACTAACAACAGATGGAGTGAGAACACCAAGATCAGTGAAAAGAAGTGTTAGAAACTGAGGTGGTGTGTAATCCCTCGCATTCCTTTCAACTTCGACGCCGGATGGAATTGGGACTCCGAATTCGATTGGTCGAATGGCAGGAGTTAAATCTTTTTGGTCCAACGGATACAGCCGGGCAAACTACAAAAAAAACACCATAATAAAATCAATAGACAGCTAAATTTTATCCTATTTGTTTTCAATTTTGTTCTATAAAATATGTTTCTTTAATATAGTTTTCAGATATTTTTATTTTTAAAATTTTAAAAAAAACTCAAAACAACTTGTTTTGAGCCGATTTGTTCTCTACCAACTTGCCAAACATCTTTTATATCATATAAAAACATAAACAAGACAAAATAAAGCCATCAAGGTGCATTTACATGCATAGCACAATTCTTATGTATTTACCACATATCTAACACCCATAAGTTTAAAAAGATAGTGTGAGTAATATTTTTGATGTGATGTTAAAGATTTTGAGTGGTATGTATGCAAATATGAATGTTTAGAAGTTAGATATGTAAATACATAAAAATTATGTGGCATGCATGTAAATACTCTAATAAAATATGCGAAAAAAATAAAAAATAGGAAAACTTGCATGCATACCACACAATTCTTATATATTTAAATATTTATCACCCAAAATTTGATATTTATGCTTTTTAACACCCAGGTGTCATAAACATATGCATGAAAAGATCTCATTTTTAAGATATTAGTGATGGTGATATATTTAATGTGATGTTAAACATTTGAGTGTTATGCATGTAAATATGAATGTTTCGGTGTTAGATATGTAAATGCATAAGAATTATGTGGCATGTATGTAAATGCCCTTAAAAAGTAATCCCAAATGATCCCTCAATATGATGCCCAGGGGGTAAAAAACAGGTTAATATTTCTAGCTTACGCATGAAAGTAGTTTGATTAAAATCACAATAATTCAAAGGAAATGTATATTGCATATGGTAGGTCAGCCGAAGAACAAAATACAGAGAATAACAAAAGCCACCCATCAATCGTATTGTCCACTTTGTTCAGGTGGTGTAACTTCTCATAAGGTCACCCATCCCAAGATTGCTCCAGCACAAGAGTGATCCAGGACAAGCCTGCTTAACTTTGGAGTTTCTAATGAAATTCCACAGTTACACTGCAATGCTCCTCAATGTTTAAAAGTTTGGCTTCAATTTACTTGAGGGGTTTCACATATATGGTCTGAATTCAACAGGTTCATATAAATTTTAATTACCAGCATATAGCAGGAAACATCTAAGTTCAGAAATCTAGCTGGCTCCTAGTGATCGTAATAAATTTTCTTTGAAATTGGTTGAAAAGGTTGTATTACCTTGTAACTTTCAGCTGCCACATAAACTGGTTTATTCAAACAATGAGCCACTAATGCAATTTGATAAGTCCCCATCATATTAATGATCCCTCCACTTTCAACCACACCGTCAGCTCCAACAAAAACCATGTCAACCTCATCCATGGCATATGCTACAGCAGAGTCAATGAGAATCTTAACTGGAATGCCTAACTGTGCAAGTTCGTTCGAGAACCGTAGACCAGTTCGATCCGGTCTTCCCTCTGCAAGTAAAAGTTGCACATTAATACATACCACCCAATTCCTATGTATTTACACATCTAACACCTAAACTTTATTTTTTTGCATTTATATGACCCAAATCCTTCATATCACATCAAAAATATCACCATTTTAAATTTTAAAAAGTGAAATACACATTTAAAAAGTGAAATACACATTCATGCATAGGTAAGGTGGCATGCATGCAAAAACTAAAGTTTTGTTAGATATGTAAATACATAGAAAATGAGAGAAAAAAATATTCCTGAAAAGAACCTGTACACAAAACTCGGAACATCTTCCTATTAGATGCCGCCAACTTCAGTACTTCCAGCACAACTCTTGAGTAGCCATGGACAAGGATTGTAGAGCCATCAAAAACAAAATCTTGACCAAGCATTGCAATGGTTCTACGCGCCTGAAAAAATAAATTATCTTTCAATCTTATAACATTAGGTGAGAAACTAGACTCCGATATAATACCTTCAAAGAAATTTCTCCAAATTTTTCTCCGCGTTCGATCAAACGAAGTTTTGCAGCATTGAAATCTTCATACTCCAAAGCAGAAGTTCTAGTCACATAGCGCATGAATAAGTCACAGCCAGCTGACAAAGATATAGAGGTTGTATCCCACGACTGTAATGCAGAAAAACATGCAAACCGAAAAAAAAAAACAATTAAATGACAAACAATAATTAAGGGACGGTACAACACAAAAGGCAAAACAGCCGTGAAAAAAATATCCCTGTCAAACATGAAAAAATTCAGCCAAAGCCTATATAGATATAACATGATATTTCTAAATCAATGACCAGTAAGAATGGGAAAAAAATTGCAATTAAAAAATTTGATGCTAGAATCTAACTAGCTTGATGTTTATAAATGACATGACACTTAACAACTGTATTTTATTTTTTACGAACAATCATGTCCAATGCTAATGATAAAATCTTCTAAATACTTAATATTAGAGTATGTCAAGGCTTAAGTTTATTGTACTGACCTAGCTATATTTATGAATGCTAATACCATGTCAGTTCAAAAGACTAGCATTTATATTTTGTAATTCCTTGTGAGCAACGAATCTGTGGTCACAAGTTTTCCTTATCTAGCTCTTCCATCAGCCTTTCTTGATCTAATGGCCCCTTAACACTCCCCATCAATTGGATGATATAGATCTCAAAATTTACTTATAATATTCCTGAATGTAGCGTTGCTAAGCCCTTCCGTTGATGCGCATTGCTAAGCCCATCGGTTGATTTGTCAGTAAATTGTATTTTTGTTGGAACATTTATCATCGCAATATATCTTTTTAAATTTTCTTCACTTGATTTTTAAATCTGTATGTTCTAAATATATAAAAGTTCATAGACACTTTGGCCAATTACCCTAAATTCAAGTAATTTATTGCTCATCCAAGTAAAGAGATCTCCGCTCAATAACATACAATATCATGTAGTGGATTGTCTATCCACAAATAATCCAAGATAGTTTGCAACAATATATCATTCAATTTGTCAAGTATCCCGCTGTTGCATAAACTACTATTTCTTTAATTCGATTTAAGATGTCCAGGAATTCAGTAAGTAATTTAAAGTGGAATTCCTTAGGTTTATGCATGAACTGACTAACAAAATGTAGTGCACATGTGATGTCAAGCTGAGCGTAAAATAAATAGATTATTTTTTAATTTTTTTATATTATCTTGTATCTACTTTGGTTACTTCCTTGTTTATGTTCAACTTTAGACCCAATTCAATTGGGTTTTACATGAAATCTGCCACTTTTATTTTTTTAATAGATCAATGATATGATTTTGCTATAAGAGAAATAATTATATACTCAAATTGAGCAACTTCTATGCCTAAAAAACATTTGAGTTTATCTAGCTCATTTAATTTAAATTCTTCAATAAGTTTCTTTCTAAAAAGATCAACATATACGATGAGGATAGAGATTTTCCATTGAAGAAGTGTTTTAAGAGTGCATGGTTTCCTTTTTTTCATCTATATCCAACTCCTCTCATAACTTCTTTGAATCTTTCAAACCAATCTTTTCAGAATTATTTGTCTCTAGAGAGCCTTTTTTTTTTTTAATTTGCACACATTATTCTTTGTAAATGCACTATCAAATCCTGATAATTATCTATATAGACATTTTTTTTAATCATCCCCATATAAGAAAGCATTATTCACAGCCTATTGTTGTCAAGATTAGAAGCCGACGAAATCATGATGTTGATTGTATATATTTTTGCAACGAGAGCAAAAGTTTATTAATAGTCTATTCCATAAGATCAAATATATCCTTTACAACTAATTTTATCTTGTACTTTTCCGGTCTCTCATTTGCTTTATACTTTATCAAAAGAAAAAAACCTTTTATTAATAGTTTTTCTCATTTTCATTAGGGCGTCTCTTATGATCTCCTTTCAATTGACAATTTCCAATGCCTCAAATAGAATTTGTAAAATTGTAAAGGGGTTGAAGTTGATATTTGCAAGAAGAGCATTGCATGCAAGGGAAATTTTAAAATGATGTATATTGAGAGATGGGATATAAAGACGTGATGATGGGGTGATCATTGTTATTAAGCTTGCTAAAGATTATGACTGAGTTTACTTCTTTTGTATAGACCTGAAAAGATAAAAAAGCTAAGATTTATTGGGATTTGAGTAAAAGGGAAGTCAAGATGAAAGAAGGCTTGTCTAACTTATCTTCCATTTAGACGTCCTCCTCCTAAAAATAAGTTTGAATGACAAAAAAATTTATTTTTTCTCAAAAATGACATCCATTGAAATAAAAAATCTTTTTATGGTAGGATGATAGCATATACACTCTGAGTGAGAGAATACCCAGTAAATACACACTTGAGAGCTTTTACATCCAATTTTCCTTTTATCATTTGTGGATATGAACATAGGTACCCAAAGACTTTTAAGAGAATCTTTGAGAAGTGATACGTAGGAAAAAATTATTTTGGGCAATTTAAGAGGCTTAGAATCGATCACCCTTACAAGTATTCTATTGATCAAGCAAGAATTAGAGCATTTTCTTCCTAATATGAACAATCATCGAGATGATTTCCAGATGGCAGTGATTTTTTCGTCTTCACACAATTTTATTATGCAGTGCCAAAGCATAAGTATTAATGTATAATAACATTTTATGAAAGAAAGATAATAATGTATAATTAAAACAATCACAAATACTATCAGTGTGAAATATTTTAACATTTGTAGTGATTAATTTTTTACCATGAATATGAATGTGAGGGGAATAATTCTTATATTATTTTTTTATTTAATAAAGAATATACTCAAGTTATTTAAGTGCAGTTATCAATGAAAGCGAAAAACCCACAGCAACAGAAACAATGAGAATTTTTTTGGGTCTCTAATATTAGAGTGAATTAAAATAAATAAAGTAGAGAATATGAAATTGTTTAAGAAATAAAAAAGAAATAAATGATATTTTGCAAGTTTATAAAACTCACAATAGAAATCACTGATGTTTACATTCATAAAAAGAAACATATATATGAAGAGTTTTAAAAGAGAGATGTTATAGCTTATAATGATTTTTGTATTGTCGGTGGAAATGAAAGAGCATGACAACTAATCCCAGTCTTTAAGATGTAACTCATCATTCTCTTAAGCTTGCCAAATCTTCTTACTTATAATGACAGATCCTGAAATATACAATGATCTGTAAAAAAATGACTTTATATTTACATTGGGAGTTGAACCCTATCTTGCAATAGTTCCAGAGAATCATCAGTCACTTTTATTTTTTTACTATTAGAAAAAGGTCTATAGGCTTGAAAGATATTAAAAAGGTTTGTCATGTGATTAGTGGCATCGCTTTCTAAAATTCAGGTTTTGAAGCTGAGTATTTATGGCATCAAAAACGTAAGAGTAGAAATTCATATCATTTTGTACAAGAGAATATGACCTAGATGTCAGATATTAGAACTAAGAAAATTTCTTAGCTTGTTAATTTTTCTGAGTGGAGTCAATTTGCTTTCACAAGGTAGTTCTATCTCCTATTTGTTCTCTTCTTTGTTTCCATCATAGCTTTCTGATTTTCCATAAAATTTCTAGCATTTCTCTTTGATGCACTCTTGCATTTTGTAAAAGTTGCATCAAAAACCTTTGAGATGAAGATTTTTGTTCTTATTTGGGAGGGAAATCTATTGCAACAAATCCCTTATCTCAGGGATCACCAACCTTTTTCCAAACCGTATAAGAGAGACAATCACATTTAGAGAAATAAGGTTTTTACCACTTAAGATTCGGACTCGAGTTTGATCAAAGTCATTATTGAATCCAACAAAAGCTTAAATACTTTCTCTTTCTAAAAATTGCTTGAGAATTATTATATCCTCATAACATATAATCTTGAAATCTTGATAATAATCCAAATCAAGCTAATAAGCTATCATGGCATTAAAATTCAATGACAGAAAAGATGTCTACTTTGTTAGTAGGTTTCATTTTGATTTATTATATGGGTGCAGTATTCTTTAATTTTTAATAAATTTGTTTATAAGCATCCCAAACTTCTTTTTGTGTAGATAGAAATATGTATAGCACAGTGGTTTTTGGTATTATAGAATTACACAACTCTATCGTAATCAAGGAATCTGTTTCTTCTCAAAATATGAATTTTGGGTCTTTCGACTTTTAAGATAAATATACAAGAAGTTAAATCGTTCCCTTTTTTTTTTTCCGTAGAAGTCTTCACAACTCAGTGCTACTTCAGATAGTTCCTCACATTAATCGATATGAGGCTTGAAATCCCTAGAGTTCTCATTTAGTTTGGATTTAACCATTAATAACAGTTGGAGTCCTTCGAAGAGAAGTCAAATAAACCAGACATGATAAAAGAAAGAAAGAACTCTGATGAAAAAGAGAGGGGCGAAAGTGTAGGCAAAACAAAATTTATAAACAGAAAACTCTAAACTCGTTTTGATAATGTCTAGGAAAAGAAATGAAGTTACAAAAACTTAAATTTTTCAGTCTTTTAATGAATATTAACATTTAAAGTTACACAGAAAGAAAAAAGAAATAATTAATTATAACAACAAGCACAAAAAAATTGTTTTTAATTATTTGTCATTTGATCATTTAAGAATTGTTGATTGATGGCAATGGAATAATCTGTAAGCTTTTTCTTTTCTTTTTTATATTTGAATCCATGGGAGATGTATTTTCTTAAAAGCAATGAATCCATAGCCTAAAATTTTTCTTAGGTAGCTCTTCTGCCGACCCTTCTTGATTTGATGGATGTTCAACATATTGTTTTTCATCTAGTTCTTTTAAGAAAATTTTTATTCAAAATAAAAACTACTTAGCTAAATATTGTAGTTTAAAGCGAGGTATTCAAATTAAAAACTATATAGCTAAACATCGAAGAGTCGTGGCAGGTTAAAAACTTAATAGCATGTGCCATGAGCTCATCTAAAGACTCCCATGTCAATTCAGATATCACATATTAACTCCTCTAATATCATATTGAAAGCAAAAAATGAACATCCAGTTTTTTCTCTCTTTTAAAAGGAATTAAATATTTTGCTGGATATACCAATATAGCATATCAGAAATATTTAAATTGTAATATTTAAACTTTTTTTTTTCTTTCAAATAGAACAAACAAAATGGAGTTTCCGGATGTCTATTTCTAAAACTTGGCCTATATGCACATATATTGCATTTTTTGGAGAAATAAAGAAGTAATAAATTTAAAACAGTTTAGAATATTGGAAAATCTACTATATAATTTAAGTAAAATTCAACGACTCGACAACTACTTTGTTCATAAGATAGTTTGAGCAGGTAAACAGACAATCACAGAAAAAACTTTGTTTAACTAAAAATGAAAAAAGAAGTACAAAAAACTGGTCTGACATGAATTTTAATGACTAATTTCCTTTAACAGACAATGTTGCAATCCCATGGTATATTACAGATAAGCAATGTTTTCCTACATAAAATCAAATCTAACCGTAGATAATATGGAATCAATATTGGTGCAAAAATATACTAATCTCCGAATAACGAAACGGTAGTTAAGTGAATCCTAGAATAATCCATCATCACAGTTAAAGAGCCTAATATCAGGAAATAAAGAAGTAAAGAGGTCATCCCTCACCTAGGAAGCTTTAATTGGTCTATTATTATAAAATGGTAAATACATTGTATTCTCTTCCACTGTTGAGAAAATGGTTGAGGAATAAACTGTTTGTTGTGATGACAATAAGAGTAAAGCATCATTATTAATAATCTCCAAGTTGAAATTTAAAAGCAAGATGACCACTTTCAAATTATGACATCATGATCTTATATAATACTTGTTTTTAGTTTGAATGCTTCTAAATTCTGGCATTGATGGGTGATATCTTCTGAGAGAAAAAAATTAATTGGAATTTGGCATCATGGAGAAATTGCAACAAGAGGGAAAATTCACATTGTGTATTTAAGGCCTTGAGTTGCATAGGAGACAAGAAAGAGATGGATGGTTCAACTAAGGCCTATGGTTTACATGTTATTTAGCGATTTATTTTCGATCAAATGGCTTTCATGAAATAGAATTTTGGAAGGTTAGATTGACAAAGTTAGCGTACGAGAAGTGCAAAAAGGATGTTGATGCACACTACTGACACTTGAAGCAAAAATGAGGAGATTTAGTAATGGCAAATATATACAAAAAAGAGGTTTCCCTGCTATAAACTCAAAGTCAAGAAAGATATTGATGCGCGCCTCCAAAACTTTTAAGAACAAAGAAGTTGATGTGGTGATAGTGTATCTATGCAAAGAGTGGTTTCCCAAAAACTCCTACTACAAATTCAAAATCCATGCTAAATTACAAAGAAACTTGAGCTAAATACATAAGGCTAAATAAATATGAAATTGAGTTGCCAAATAGGATGGTTATTTTTCAAACATTTAATATATTGGTAGTGCTCCCTTACCAAACTTGAGTACTGGCCCTCTTTATAGAAATGAGGATGATGTATCATAGTGTTGTTTGATGGCTACTAACACCAATGGCCACTAGTAATGTTTAGCGAAGGACTTGATAAGTAAATGTAATAATTCACGTCTTAAATTGGACCGGTTCCCATTCATTTCAAATATGTAATTGGCTAAAATAAGCACGTGTATTTGGCAAACTATGAGCTTTTTCTTGCCAACAAATTTTAATTGAACGTTTGAGAGTAAGTGATTTGGTCACATTAAACATCGACCATCTGATGATCCGATTAGAAGAGTAGATGTTTTAAATTCGACTTTTGTTAAGAAAGGAAGAGGTAGACCTAGGAAGACTTGAAGAGGTAGACCTAAGGAAGAGGTAGACCTAGGAAGACTTGGCCTTATTGAATCAAAAATGATCTTAATTTATTACAAATACATGAAAATATGACACTAAATAGGAATCAATGGAGAAAAAGGATTCATGTAGCCGACCCCACATAGTGGGATTAAGGCTTGGTTATTATTGTTGTTGTTTGTTTGAGAGTAAGTGATTCCACTTGAATGGTTGAGTCCTAAATCTTGTCACATAGCGAACAATAAAATCCCTCTCATGTCTTTGTTCACTTCAAATCATTGAACTAAATCAACAAAAATATGCATACAAAACTACGATTAAAATTAAAGTTGATACATTAGCCAAAGAAAATAAATGAGATGTGTCGAAAGTAGAAAGAAGGCATATCCACGTGATCTAGAAAGCTAATAAAGGTCGGGCAAAGAACAAAGAAACCACTAAAAAACATAACAATGAAAACTGAAGTATCCTCAAATCAAAATCTGTATCCAAAGATCTAGAAGAATGTCACTAATTGAGCAAAGTAAGTAGGTAGCAGCACATGATAGCTTGCAGTATTAATGGAATAAAGTAAAAGATATGAGCTAAAAAGCAATAGCGAAATTTTAGCTCAAATATCAAAGATCATATAAAGATTGAATTGATTTTGGCTCTGATAGAGATTGAATCAAGCCATCTAAGCTAATTCATGAGTCAACTTTTTGGCTTGGTCCATTTTTCAAGCCTATTTTAAGTCAAGCCTAAATCAGATCGATTCAACTAGAGATTGATTCAAAATATAAATAATATGTATTATTGTATACAATAAATATACATATAGGTGTATCTATGTATAAAATAATCATAAATATTTTTTATGAATATATAAAGATACAAAAAATTAAAATAAGAAAAAATATGTGATTTCAAGCTAGTTTGATTCAAGTTTGAGTGAGCTCAAAATTAGACAGGTTTGAGCCAAGATTACTCAAAATAAACAATTCAAACTCAAGCAATTATCTGATTAACTTGAATCGGATCATTAACATACATACCCAAAAACTATGAAAAATTCAAAAAATAAAGAAGCTAGAGTGCATCCGGCCACCTTTGAAAAATTTTTATTCTGCCAACCTATCTGCATTGCAAACGTTATTAGAACAACTAGCTATAGAAAATTCTTCACAATTTTACAATAGCCAAGCACAAAAGTTGCATGCCCATCTTTTAAAAAAAAATATAAAATGTGAAGTAGTGGTAGTTACCATCATACAACACTCAAAGCATATAGATAAATAACATGATGTGGAACTCAAACAAAAATTGAAATACTGTCAGAGCAATGTTGCTTGCCTCAGATCATACTGAAACAATCTACATAGCTTGAATTAAAAACTTTTCCGATATCACTAGCGATTCCTATTCATACACATAACTTCTACAAGAAATGAAACACTGCAAATGGTCCACAAAAGCTTTGATATTAAAAAAGGAGTGCGCTATATCAAAATGTCAGGCCTCATTCTGTCTAATTAATCCAGATGATGCTTCAAATGAAGTTTTTAATGGTCAAAGTAATTCAACTCTAGTAAAACACTACAACTTATGAAGCAAAAAAATCAGCATTTTTTATATGAATTTATGAAAAATTATAAAAAATATATATAGAGAAGCAAGCTTTAAAGATCAAAAATATCGGAACCTAACGCGGAATAAATTCTGTTATAAGCTTCACCTTGAGCATATCAGATGCTTTCTTGAGCTCGATCTCGAGCTCCATCATGGTTGTAGCCTCGCTGGAACGGATGAAAGCCGCAAGGGCCATGATTGCCGCTACGGCCTCGGCCAAGTCAGGCTTCTTCCTCCAGTAATTGAACTCATCGATGACGCTGAAAGTTTTCCCACTGCCAGCAGGCCTGCTCCCTCCTGCAGCCGCTGGCTTAAGCGAAACCTCAGGCTGCGCCACGTTTCGTGTGACGGCGGCCTGGGCTTGTGCGAGCCAGTCACTGGTGACGACGGCGTGGTGTTCTGCCCTCGTCTGGTAGTATGCAGAGATTCCGTGATCAGGGTTAGGGTTAGGGTTAGGGTTGGGGGTTTGGAGGGTGTTTGGCTCCATGTCGTCGCTGGAGGGTAGAACTTGCTGGTGAAGCGGATATGCTTCAACTTGTTGCCTCTTGTCGAGGACGAAAGAAGCGGATCTTCTCCACATCCTCGGTCAAAGGACTTCGTATAAAGAAATTGGAATTTCAGCTTTTTTTTTAAGTGGGAGAGGAAACGAAGAAGAGAAATGGCGGTTTCAGAAGAATTGTTAATATATATATATATATATTATATATATATATATATATATATATATATATATTTAGGGTTTAGTTAGGGTAATGTTAAACCCTAAACCCTAAATATGTATAAATACTATTAAAGGTAATGTTATGCATGCACATTTTATGGTCTCAAATTTTTAAATAAGATAACTCTAATTAAGGAACTACCCAATTCTGGAATTAATGATGATTTTATTAGAAATTTTTTAATTATTTTATTTTTTTAAGAAGTCCTTGATATCTAATGATAACTAAAGATTAAAAAATAATCTAGATAAAATAATATTATGAAGTTTGTTATGATAAATTTAAACTTAATGCACTTGAGCTTTTACTAGGTATTTTTGATATTCTTGACTAGAAAACTTACATGTTTGCATTTTAATAATTTTTAAATAATGAGTATAATTTTCTTTTCCCCTACAGATGCAACTCCTCTCTAGTAATCACTGTCATGAAGTTTTTTGTAGCACCATCCAATATAGTTAAACTTATATCTTGGATCAATGATAACATCAATTGTCAGTATAATAAAAATTTCATATAAATATTCCTCAAACTTTGTACATTTATTTTTATATTTTTATACACTCATAAGCACTTAATTTTTTATGCTTTAATGTTTCTTGAGGTGTATGTATAGTAAAATAAAGGTTTGACATGGAATATTTTGTTTAGAAAATATATATGTGATATTAAAAAAAAAATGTGTCAAGAAGTTTCATATGTTTATCAAATTTTTTCTTTCATGATTTGATGGAAAATTCTTGTAATTTGAGTCACTCAACTCTAACTATAAAAAGCACATGTAAAATAAATAGTACTATCAATTATAATAAAAAACAAGTTATGCCTTCTATGAATAATTTGCCTTAATATATTTTTCGTGTAGGTAATTTTGTATTAAACACTCAAAAAAAATTTAGTTTATAGCTTGAGAATATTTCTCATACTTAATGTCTACACCATCTTGCAGGTGAAGAATAATGTGTATTTTATGCTTAGTTATTATATTTGAAGTTGGTGCTTTGAAGATTTATCGTTGGGTGTTTGGTTTTTTTCAAAAATATTGTCATATTTTATTATCAAAAGATGTCATTTATTTGTTCGCCAATATCTTAAATTGTAGCAATTTAATAGCATTTCAACTACAAAAGGTTGAGATGCACCTGATAGATTCATTTAAAATGTGTATTATTATTCATTGTGAATCTACTAGAATAATCATTCATTGAGACTCGATTGATTAATTTTATTTATTCATTTAATATTTGTATTATTTGCTAGTTATTAATTGTGAGTTTTTTTATTTAGTAAAGAAATCTAATACTTTAGTAATATTGTTAATACCAAAGAGAATGAATTATAATTAGGGCAATGGATCTGCATAAATAGATGAGGAGGTAAGTGATAGAAATATCATATAGAGGAAAAGATTGACTTTATCTACATGAGAATATTTTGAGCTATTGCCTCTTAGAAATGATATAAAAAAAGATGCAAAGGTAAGAAATGTGGCTTATTTTACATATGTGACATTAAGTTTGACACTAATAATTTGAATTTTCACCTATAAAACTACAAGAAGAGAGATACATATGATATATGGAAACATACTATATTTATAAAGTTATTTTAGTTCATTTATGTCTATGTATGAGGCTAAGTTTGACCACCAAGTGTTCTGTGATTTACTTATAACTTGCATTATTGTGCTTGATTCATCTTTTTCAATGTGTTGCATGACCTAGTTAAAGTACTTTCATTGTATTGAGATTTCCATCTCGTATCTTAAAATATTGCTTAAAATGATTGCAAAATATGTTTATCATAGAGAAGGGGCAAAAAATCTTGAACTTTGGTTTTATTTCACCCTTATAAAATGGTATTGCATTATTTGAAGTGATATAAATTTTGTTAATTGAACGTGGAGTTGATGGTACGAATTTTAGTTTCACTCATGATAATACTTTATCTATAACAACACAATAGTACATGGGCATAATTAGAATTATCTTTTTATCATAAATAATTATTGCATAAATATACAAAACAAATAGATGCACAACAACTTGCAGCTTTTTAATAAATTGTAGTTGCCCCAAATAAATTAATGGTCATCAAAATCAATTACGTGCATTTGCTCGTGTTTTCAAGCGGAATGTCCCATTGACCATGTTTTTGCGCTTTCTTCTTATCAATGACTACTATAAAACCCGGGCCACAACCAATGGATGAGATAACTACACATCATCATACATATATTTGAGTCCCATACTGTCTAAAATGCATATATTTTTGGTGTATCGTGCATCTCAACATTTTTGTAGTTGAAATGTTATTAAATTGCTACAATTTAAGATATTGGTGAACAAAGAAATGACATCTTTGGATAATGAAACAAGGCGATATTTTTGAAAAAAAAATCAAATACCCTGCAACTATGTATCACACTCATAACATACCCTACAACTACTATCGGACATCCAAAAATCCTGCGATACATATGCAGGCTCAGGGAGTTGAGGGAACAATGATTTCACTAGCTCTAACAATTCAAAGAACATGTTCTCTTGGGTTGCAATTGACCATGAAGCCCTTATCTTGCTTATTCTGTTGAAGTCATTTCAAATGCAACTAATTATAACCACTTTCTTTTGTCGGACCTTATCTTTGTAAGGTGATGATGATCAATGAAACACAAATCCCTTCTGCTGTGATGGTCAATGAATAGCGGTACTTTTTATTCAAAATCTGTAAAAAAGCATCAACCTGTCTATATTAGGGTTCAATTAGAATTGCAACTGCACAAACAGATAATAATAAAATCAAGATTCATAAATAAAAATTACACTTTAAAAGGAATCAATAAAACATGCATATATTTTTGGAACATAATATTGCACTTTAAAAGGAATGTATTTTTAATGTTTTATTGCAGGTTGTTGATTTTTAAAACTTGGAGCAAAAAAGAAGTAAAAAGAATGAAATTTGGAGTAAAAATAGAGTTTTTGAAGAACTGTTCGACACCGTTTGACAGTGAGCGCGGTCTAATTAAATGACCACTGGCACCGACAGAGCCAGAATGGGCGTCGACGATGCCAATGTCGGTGCATGCCCTATTTCTAGAAGATTCGACGAATTTAAACGTTTTTTGAAGAGTTTTTGGATGCACATATTGGAAAACCGACCTTAGGCTCTATTTAAAGCCGAAATTGATCAAAAAAGACCTCTGCTTTGCCTCTCTTCGCCCCCCTTTACCCCCCTTCATGCTATTCCACACCATTAGTCATTTATTTTTTTTATAGTTTTGAGTTTGTGTGGTGAGTTTAAGTGTGAATTCTTCTTTAAGAGTGTTAGAGAGGGTGAGAAGTGAGAGATTTCTTCTTCTTATATTTCCTAAGAAAGGCTACAAGGGATTTTCTTTGATAAAAAGTTTCATATAAGTGTTATTTGTTTATTGTTGTTGTATGAAGTTTTTTTTATATATGAAATTTGTGTTTTGTTGTATCTTTCTCATGAAGTCTAAGTAGTTTCATTTATTTTTCTCTCTACTCTGAGATATTGTGAAATAAAGAGATAATTTGGATGTGCCAATATTAAAATATAAAATAAATTGTGATAGTTTTCAACTCCGAACTTAATTTACTTTCAATCTGGTTTACTTTTCGATGTGGCCAATTGAATTGTTAAAATCTGTTGTGAAACATACTATCCGGAAAATGGAGTATGATTTCTACAACAAAGTAAGAATCACATTCTGAGAATCACATTTAAGTCCATGAAGGAGTATTTCGTTCGTGGAATTAAGTGCAAATAAATAGAAAAATATACATTATTAGGTGTGAAATTGGAGATTTTTAGGGTGATAGACTAAAATCCTCAATTTGATCTTAGTGTTTAAGAACTAAAACAAGAGTTAGCCTTCAGGGGAAGGAAAGTGGGAGCTTTGGAGTGGGAGTCAATATCCTCCTAGCCTAGCCACAGATTTAGGGACTAAACCTGAGATTAGCCAACGATTTTCTATAACACTGAATCAGGATAGATAACTAAAATTGCTCTTATTTGGCACAATACATATTTAAATCATTTATCTCATTTTATTTCACCAAAAACTAATTGTAGTGAGAAAGATGTTTTTTCATATTAAAAAACTTCATCACATAAACATAGTTTAGTAGTTACTGTTTTAAATTTTGTATTTAAATTTTGCTAGTAGTTATTAATTTAGTTCTTATATTATCTAAAACATTCGAAATTAGTGACAGTAATTTTGTTGTATTTTTGTGAATTTTCTAGTTAATTTATCATCCTAGTTAATTTATCATGAATTTCCTAGTTAATTTATCATTTCAAATTTAAACCTTCATCGTGGGATCGATATTTGGGACTTAAATAGAAAGTTTTGCATTACTTGATAACGATACGTATACTTGCGTGAAATCCCAACATTAAGTGCTTGACGTTATTATTCATAAAATACCACATCAAATTTTTTGCACCGTTGTAAAGCGGAGTTAGTTTTATAAATTTTACACAAGTATATTTTCTGGAATCATTGCACCTGATAAATTTATTTAATATTTTTATTATTATTCACTGTGAATCTACTAGGTTAATCATTCATTGTGACTCTATTGATTAATTTTATTTATTCATTTAATATTTGTATCATTTGCTAGTTATTAATTGTGAGTTTCTTAATTTGGATAAATAATTCTAATACTTTAGTGATGCTGTTAATACCAAAGAGAATAAATGATATTGATGTAAATTTTTAAGGCAATGAATCTACATAAATGGATGAGGAGGTAAGTAAGAGAAATATCATAATGAAGAAAATATTTAGTAGTTCATCTACATGAGAATAGTTTGAGTTATTGTCTCCTAGAAATGATATGAAAAAGAAAAAAATATAAAAGTAAGAAATGTGGCTCAATTTACAGATGCGAAATTGAGTTTGGCATTGA